AAGAGGGAAAATGAGAAATTATCCCCCAGGAAGGATGGATGGATGGCAATGCCAAAAATCCCTTCTTATCCGTTCCTCTCAGGAGTTTGGGCATGCACGCACATGTGCCTAGGGTAATTTTCAGGCTGCCAGATCCGGGATTCAAGTCACAGAGTTGGACATGTGGGATCCAGTGCCTTAATCACCATGCTACCTGATGGTCCACACAGCACTTTTATCCTCATATGCCTGTGTGTGATTCCTGTCATTACCCTGTTTGAGATTTGTGGGTGAATGTACCTTGTCAGTCTGGGAAGATACTCATTCATTATCTTTTTTTCTTTTTTCTTTTCTTTTTTTTTAAGAGAAGGATTTTTGTTGTAGGGCACATGCACTCGTCAAAGAGACAGACCGAGAGTGAGAAATCATCCCTCACAGGGGGGATGGCCATGCCACTATCCCTTCTCTAGTCTCCTCAAAGATTTTGGGCATGCATACACAAGCTCCTGGTGTGAGTTTTAAGCCGCCAGTCCGGGACTCAAGACTGCGGTCGACTACATGGGAGTCTAGAGCCGTAACCATTATGCCATCGGCTGGTCCCCTTATTATCTCTTTAAAAATTGGTTTTCCGTACACAGTCTCTTGTCTCAGGGATTTCTGCCATTGCATGAACGCTAGCCCTTTTTACTCTCTCTTTATTACATGCTTGTGAGAAGGGCTTGACAAATCAGTTGATCATTCCCTTTACTGAAGTACTCTGCCACTCAAACTCTCCCCTCCTCAGAAGCCAGGCCCATCTCTGACATCAGCAGTGAAGAACCCCACAAATCTGCATGAAATTTGGACATACATAGTCACCGTTCATACCGAGAACAAAGGACAAAGTGTGTGGAGACTGTCCCCAGGCACGAGGTGGAGTACCTAAGGTCACAGCCTAGCACTGAGCCGGCCTCGGTGCCGGGTTCTGAGTGACAAAGGCTCCTGTGCTCTTTGGTAGGCAAGGCCCCTAAAGCATGGGCCCTGAGGCAGATGCCCTCAATTTACCTGGGTCTGAAGCAGTTTTTTAATCTCAACATTATAAACATTTGGGACAGATAATTCCTCATTGTGGGGATCAGGCCTGTGCATTAGAGGATTTCATCCTGGCCTCTCCCCAGAGGCCTACAGCACCTCTCAGTTGTGATAAAAAAAAATACCCCAGACATTGCCAAATGTGGTCCAGTCATAATCCTGAAAGACATAACCCCAAATGCCACAATCCCCAAAGAACAAAATCTCTAAAATTATAGTCCCCAAAAAGTAAGATCCCAAATGTTGAAATCCTGGAAGCCAAAATCCTGAAGACTTTTAGAGCGTTCTAATTTGTTTAATGTGATTTTTGCCTATTTGACTCCATGAAAATACATTATCAGGGCTAGCAGGTGGCATGGTGGTTAAGGGTGCTGGACTCCCATATAGCCAAGCATGGTTTGAGTCCTGGACCCAGCAGCTTGCCTTCTCACTTTCCCTCTCTCTCTCTGGTCAAATGAAACTAATAATAAATAAAATTAATTCTTTAAAAATATGCATTAGCACAACACTGACTTTGTAAGCACTGTGCATTTACTTAAAAATGTGAAACTTTTTCAAAAACGAAGAGATGCTCCTTTTCTGCATCTGCATTTGTGAGGTCCTGGCTCTCTGGGTGACTGCTCGGACCCACTGCGGCGTCCGGTCAATCTCGTCAGAAGCCTTAGGTTGTTCATTATTTCAGATGACTGAAGTTATAAAGGTGGGAGCAGTTACTCACCATACGGGTATGTTTGTACATCCTGCTCTTTGACCTAACGGGTTATTAATATCGTTCATGTGCTCATAACTGTTATGCCCATGCAGCCGTCATTAGTATACCTGAGGGTTTATGCCTGGAAAATTGTTAATTCCTATTTTATTGTGTAAAGTGGCCCTTAATTTTTTTTTTTTTTAAGGTTTTTGCCATAGAGCATGTGAGTGCACAGAATGGGGGAGAGGGAAATGAGAAATCACCCCTCTCCCATGGGGGATGGCAACACTGCAATCCCTCCATTCTTCTCTTAGGCAAACCCGAAGGCAAACCAGGAGAATGAGGAACAGATGTGTAAACCCCTGCTTCAACAGAACTAGGAGACAGCTGAAACTTTTAACTCTAAAATGGGTGTGAGTTTAAAAAGTAGTATCGAGGGCCGGCAGGTGGCGTGGTGGTTAAGGGTGCTGGACTCCCACATGGTCGACTGTGGTTTGAGTCTGGGACCTGGCGGCTTCCTTTCTCACTTTCTCTCTCTCTGTCCCTCTCTGGTCAAATTAAAATAAATAAATACATAAATAAAATAAAGTTCAATAAAATAATTCTAAAAAAGAATAGCATCAAATAGTGCAGAACGCCTGCTGTGCAGGATGAGTAAGCCAGCTAGTATCTTCTTTAAGGTGAAGTTATTTGCAGAACCAGTTTACCAAAGCAGCAGGGATGAAGAGAGACCCTGCAATCTGAAAAAAACAGGGTATTTATTGGCAGGGTTCCAATGGTTCACACACAACCCTGAGACATAAAAATTTCTGCTAGACCAATCCCTCCTCCAGAATGTCTGGGAAGAAAACATTTCAAGATACACATTTTCCCCATCTAGGTAAATGGCAATCTCATTCCTCCAAGAGCTTCTCCCCCGCCCCAGAAATAGTCAATGTTGCCCAAAGTAGCCTCAGACACGCAGGCCTCCTGCCTTAGCCTCCAGAGTAGCTGGGGTTACAGGAGCAAACCACCACACCCTGTCCCAAGGGCTCTTTGACTTCTCCTGCTTCTTCCAATTTCTCAGCCAACACTGTTGGTTCTACCTTCCAAATATATTCAGAATCCTTTTCCTTTGTACACTCCCATTATCACCCTAGTCCAAGCCTTTGTGTTCACCTAGACTGCTGCTATAATCTTGTGACTATGCTCTCCATTCTTATGGTTGGCTCTCTACAACTTTTTTCTTTTAAACACAGCAACCTAAGCTGTATCAATTAATCATGTAACTCCAAGAGAAACCTCTCCAGATCTCTCTTCAGAGTAAAATCCAAAGTTCTTATCATAGCTCTACTGATCTCAATTCCTGCTCTTTGAATTTATAACCTTCTGCTGTATGTGGCTTCTAGAAGTATGCTTTAGGAAAAGAATCATTGAGAATCACTCAGTTGATGAAATAGTTTTCAGTGAATGTCAATGGTGGGTAGAAGGCATATTGGAGGAGAAAGGGGATGAAAATAAGGATGGGGTGACAGTGATAACTTCAAATGGATATAGAAGGTGTAGGGATGATTACAGTTGAATTAAGTGGTATTTAGGAGCAATTTTTTTCTTTAAAGAATGTGATACCTGAACAAACACTGACAGTAAAAAAAGGTAATAGATTAAGGGACTCAACAGAAGAATCAGGAAAAGATAAAAACAAGTTCATAAAATGCAAAGGATTAACAGGAGCTAGCGATTAATTAATTAATTTATTTATTAATTTATTTTTGGAGAGGTTTTTGCTATAGGGTGCTTGCGCTCGCCAGAGACAGAGACAGACAGCGAGAAATCACCCCCCAGGGGGGATGGCCACGCCACAATCCCTTCTCTTGGGATCTCGGGCACACATGCACACGGGCCTGGCATGAGTTTTAAGTTGCCAGATCCAGAACTCAAAGTGCAGTTGACCACGTGCGAGTCAAGTGATGTAACTATTACGCCATCTGCTGGCCCATAGAATAGCGGTTTTTAAAGAACTAACAGACTAGAGAAATTAAAGATAAGCGGTAGTAAATGAGGATGGGGAGATAGTGACGACTTCAAATGGATATAGAAGGTGTAGGGATGATTACAGTTGAATTGAGTGGTATTTAGGAGCAATTTTTTTTATCACTTTTACAATACTGACTTGTGCCATTTGGTTATCTTTCTTCAGAAATAATCTGTAGAAGATTGGATACATCAGGGGTTGGGATTTTGCAGCAAGGTATGAGTAACAATATCCTGAGGATGCTTTTTTCTCATATGTGGACTATTAAAAATCTAGATAGGGCTTATAAAAGCAGTGAAATCAGATTATGACCTGACTTGACCAGGTTTTGTAAAGGAAGAGAGAGATGGTTAGAAGTGAGATTTCTAAATTAGTAATTTCAGAGTTAAAAACTGTCCTTGGATGTTCAAAGTATATAGGATGTGCTTGTGTTGGTAACAAAGTAATGGAACTAAAGCCATGTAAGAAGTTGTCATTGCAGTTAATAAGATAGCTGAGGGGCCAGCAGGTGGCGTGGTAGTTAAAGGCACTGGATTCTCATGTGGTCAACCGCGGTTCGAGTCCCAGATCTGACGATTTGCTTTCTCCCTTTCTCTGTATCTCTCTGGTCAAATTAAAAAGTAATAATAAATGGCAATAAAGAAATAAATACTTCTTAAAAAAAAAAAAAGATAGCTGAAATCTCTGAATATACTCCATGAATGTGACCTACATTCTGCTCTCCACCTAGTTTAATCACAGTTTTCCTATACCTTCAATTCTCCAAGATTTTAAAAATGAAGATTTTCACCTAATAACATAAATATTAGACTCTGTTACTAAAATCATTTTCAATAAAAAGCTGTTAAATCATTAAGATAGGTAAATATTTGGGTATAGGCAAATGTTTGGGATAAGCACGAAATTATCAATGATTTGGAAAAGTTGCCATTAATTTTTTTCCCTGAATAGTGCATTTTATCACCCCCAAAATAAGTCGTATTTTTCCCACCTAAAACTTTATTAAATTTGCTATAGGGTATATGTGCTCACCAGAGAGAAAGAGACTGAGAGAGTACACTACCATGTACGGAGCTTGAACTATGGTCGGCCACATGAGAGTCCAGTGCCTTCACCACCTGATAATTTTTAAGTAGGGATATCAAGATAGCATGGCATCAGTCTTTTAAAGTATTTTTTATAATCTGTTAAGAAAAAAACTCCCAATGTTCAGGCTTAAAAGCCATGTTTAATGTGATGCTGGGAAACTGGGTAGCATTAAACAACAGACCTAAATTTATTACAACTCTAAATTTTGTTAATGTCCAATAATACATAAATCAGTTAAAATAAGAATCTCTATTCAGAGATGAAGAAAAAAGGTCTTCCAGTATAGTTATTTTGGAAGGTACTTCTATTTACATATCAGAACCAAGACTTACCAACAACCCAGCATAAATGGTGAAATGATGAAAATACTCGCTTAGTAAAATACTGGCTTCTCTCCCTCTTTCATTCTAAAACAAAAATCAGTCTTCACTTTCTACATAAATTTATTACAATAAGCAATTCCAGAATAGAAATTTGAAAGTCAGTGGTCAAACTAAGATGGTCAAATAAAGCAAACCTTCTTCAAACCAAGTCATTTGTTAAATGTCTTAAATATTGCCTACCACGCAGACTCAGTATTTTGCTATATAGGGCAGAACTTATTTTAAACTATGTGAGAAATGTTTAAAAAACAAAGGAAAAAAACCCACCTTGGTGGTCTGATACATGAAAAATATTTCAACATGAAGTCTGTAAACCAGAAATCACCTGTTCTAGTTGCTATACTCTTCTAACACATTTTAAGTTTCCAAATGACAGGACTAAGTTTTAAAAAAGAAACTCAACACATCGAACACACCCACATATCTAGATATGTAATAGATCAGTTCACAAACAGATTTGACTCAAGCCTTTGAACTTGTTATTTAGATACAAGATTCTGGACCCAATTATTCAGATCCACTGACTAGCCCATAATGCAGCTTGTGTTAATCCACTGTACAACTGTATAACAGATCACTCTAATTTCACTCTAACAGAAGCAACAATAAAATCAGAAATACTTTTAGTAATGTGATAATCAAAATAATAGCAATGGGATAAAAACCAGAGAGTCTGTTTCAGCTTCTTGTTCAGTAAGCCTGTTCCTCATTTTTAGGTGAGGATAAAGGTATCACAACCAAATATGGGAAACTGCTTTTTCTTTATTTAGACCTTAGGGAGAAAATAAACTTTGGTCACATATTACCTTTAAAAAAAAAAAAAATTCAGTTTTACATATTACTAAATAGATAAGACTAAATGACCAGAGAAGTAATTTCTTCTGTAAAAATTGGCCAAATTTTATCAAAAATCTAACGTACAATGTTCCAAATCATATAGACTGCTTGGGATCAAAATGCTTCAAATGAACAACAGCTGGGACTCCAGCCGAACAAATGTGAAAGTACTTGCGCTCATGTTGCTTTGGTCCAACAGAGTAGAGCTGAATCAGTAAGAGTAAACTAAGTGCCTAATCTTTGCCAACATTAATTTAGGTTGTGGCTGACAGCAGAAATATCCATGATGAATAGTTCTACTATAAGAAAAGTATAATTAGAGAATTTTTTTTTTATGAACACATCACAGTATCAAATCTTTATAAGAGAAAAATATGAACAACAAAAAGGATGAAATAGCTACCACAAACAAAATGTCTCCTCCATACTGCTTTTGAGGGGGTAAAAAGGTGTGGTTAGGGGCAGATGATGCTAACATGAAAGGAAGTTGAGTATTTATTTCTTATTTTATACAACTCTTACTCTTTACAAAATGGATATAGTCATGCCCATAAAAGTGTAACCCATGGCATTGGAAAGCAAACACTCTTTGTAATTATTTAAAAGGGCCTTTTTAAAAATTATAATACAAAGGTCTGTGCTCTACAAGCAGTCCTCCACTGTGCATTATAACAATAAGGCTTACTTTTAATACAAAGACTAAGTGTTTGGGAGTTATGAACCACTGGATTTAACAAACATCATTTTATAATTGCTTTTTGCATCTTTTTTGTTTTTGGGATCTTCCACGTCATCAGGATGCTCAGTAGCTTGAAGTTCTTCAGCAGATTCTTCTTTCTCTGACTCTGAGTCACTTTCAGAGTCATCTGGACTTTCAGGATCAGGTGAATCATCATCGTCGTCATCATCTCCAGCCACATCACCCTCTCCGTCATGATCTTCTACCTAAAATATCAACAAACAGGCTCTTTTTAAAATAAATTATTAGCCAGTACAAAAACTGGGGAAGACCCTGATCTTTGTCAGCGTCTTACGAACAGTCACTTTGGAGTCATCAGAGCAACAGTTTTAAGACTGTATTGTAAGCAGAAGCTGCTGTGAAAAGCACTGAGGACTGAAGGATCAGGTTTTATACACAGGGACTCAAGTAAGATTTTAAGAAAGGGCTCTGAAGACCACTCACCTGTCTCCCTACTTCTCCTAGTCTGAAAACTACTGTATTATATCTTCCTGAAAGAAACAATATTTTTTACGTAATTAAGGCAAGTTAGCCACTGATCTATATGTAGAAATCAGCTATCAATGTTTGGCATACATTACAAGGGCACTTCACAAAGTTTATGGAAACCTAGATTTAAAGGATGTGTTTCTTACAGTGCAAACAAATTCTGAGGGCCATTTCCATAGCTAGTGGTTAAGGGAATCACATCTCACATGGCAGACTATGTTTGGAGTCCTGGCCCTGGTGGCATAAAAAACTCACTGGGAACATGTGAATGTGTGTGTCTAAAATCTCAACAGGATGGAAAATAGAGACGAGATTGTGGCACGACCACGCCCCATTGAGAGTACGCTCTCTTTTGTCTTTCTCTGGCAAGTACACATCTCTCAAGCTATTAAAAAAAATAAGAATAAAAAAAATGAAATCCACAAATAGTTTTGTCACAATACTTATTTTTCATGAACATTTTGGAGACTCCTTGTACTCTGGAGTAAACGGTAATTACATATTAATTCATAATATAAAATGAGATCACTTAGGAAATAATTGAGAAAGAACTCTTCTAAACTAGTATTTTTAACTTACATAAAATATTTTAACTAATTTCTGAGCATGCTGTTCATGCCTATCAAGCATGTGCCCTAATATTAAGTAGGTATTAGAAAAACACATTTTAAAATACTTAAAAACATCTCTTCTGATTGGCTATGAAGACCTAGTTGGACATATAAAAATAAAAATATACATATATATGTACATGTATTTTTTTATTATTTAAATGAGAGATTTTCATGAGAAAGCATGTGTACTCGCTGGAGAGACAGAGAGACAGAAAGCGACCTGCTGGGTCCAGGACTCAAACTGTAGTCAACTACATGGGAGTCCATGCCATAATGATTGCGCCATCTGCTGGTCCCTATGTAAAAGTATTTTAGGTAACTGTATAAAGAAAACTTCCTATATAAGATTCTTGATAATCAGGATTAACACAAATAAATGATATTAAATTGAAAGTTGATTATATTCCTAATCAATGAAAACAAGTTAATTACTACCTCACTGAAGCCAAGTCCACAATGTCGTCGATATCTTCCTGATAATTTACTGTCCATACTTTGCTGATACTGAGACTCCAGTTCTTCATTAATTTTCTTGTCTTCTTCCCCTGCATGTCCAGTGTACTTTGGTTATGTTTCAGTTAAATTAATAAAAACATTTGATTACACAAAAAAACCCACAATACAGGTGATAGTATATTCAGGACTGATTTTTCTGATTGTGGCTAATTTTATAATAAATTTTGTGAATAAGATTTGATACCACAAGTAGTTACCTATTAGACAACCAAAATAACTGTAGGGTTTATTTATGATTACTTCTTTAGTAACTAGCCTTCTGAATTACAAAGGTGCTTATAAAAGATGAAGAACTTACATTTTTCTATATATATAATTCAAACCAGACAGAGGAACTACCTAAAGTTAAAATATCACAAATATTACTAATACTATAGAATATTAAATGTTTTATCTATACATAAAACAAATGACAGTTCTGAAACCTCTTAAAAAACAAAAACAAACAAAAAAAAAACCTCCAACAAACAAAAGCATCTATCTTTGAACAGAAGTCTATTCAAGAATGGCTAAATAAAATGACTTTGTAATGGCCTGCCTTTATGCCTTTCTTTGCACTATCAGTTTCATGTGTAGGTAGAGCTATTTTGTTTTTACCTAAGTTCCTGCCATATCATAATCCTCCTGCCTAAGCCTTGTAAGAAACCGGGAACACCACCATACCCAGCCCTTTCAAACAGGATCTCACTATGCTATGTGTGCTGGTTATCACCTTATGATCCTCCTGCCTGAGTGTCCAAAGTAGCAAACACCACACTATCCCTGACTTTAGGGTGGGCCAGGAATCGAACCTAGTCCTCCTATATGATCTCAGCCTGCCCATAGCAGTGTCCAGAATGTGCTATCATGTCTGGACCTACAAATCAGCTAATTGAGGTAATATACACTTCAAAAAAAAGTCCATGTTAATTTACTATGTAACATTTTTTTTTTTGAGAGATTTTTGCTATAGGGCATGTGCACTCGCCAGACAGACAGAGAGAGACAGAGAAAAAGAAAGCGAGAAATCACCCCCCAGGGGGGATGGCCACGCTGCAATCCCTTCTCCTCCATTCTCCTCTCAGGATCTTGGGCACACTCACACACGCGCCCGGCATGAGTTTAAGCCACTGGGTCCGGGACTCGAACCGCGGTCGACTACGTGGGAGTCCCGCGACATAGCCATTATGCTAACTGTTGGTCCCACTATGTAACATTTGATCTATCTATATATTTTTTTTTACATATTCTGTTGTATGTAAGTTATGAAGGAGAATATTAAAACGACTACCTATGAATCTACCACTTATGAACTAGAACAGTATGAATACTATTGGAGCTTCCTGTGCCTGATATATTTTAATTTGTAAATATAAATGTAAGAGAAATTTCAGGCTTTCATCACAAATAGTGGTACTGAACATTACTTATAAAACTCCTAATTTTGAAACAGTAAATATAAAAGTTGTAATATTTTTCTATTCTGAAAGGCTCAGGGATATTTTCCTTATACAGCAAGGCAAATATGAAGTAACTGTTTAACAGCAGTAATATCTAATAAGTACTGAAAAGTGCTATATATGCTAGGTCAGTATAAAGTCAACTTAAAAAACTTAATCCAAAATTTTGTTAAATTTAATCTAGATCATTATAGGCCATTATCCCCTCTTATTAATAATGTTCAAGATCAGAGTCAATTTTTTTTTCTTCCCTAGGGCTTTTGCCATAGTGCATGTGTGCTCTTTAGAGAGAGAAAGGAAGCCCTCACTGGGGGGATGGCCACACTGCAGTCCCCTCTCCTCTTGGGAGTCTGGCCACATGCACACCTGCACCTGGTGTGATCTTCAAGCCTCCGGGTTGGGAGCTTGAACCACAGCCAGCCATGTGGGAGTCTAGCACCTTAGCCACTGTGCCACCTCTGCTGGCCCCTTGGGGTGAGTTTTAATAGGTGAAAATTTTACTTCTTAGCACAATGACTTAAAATGCAAATTAATTACTCATGCTTCATTTTAAAGTTTTTCTCTAAAATTAAAAAAAAGGTATTTAATCTTTAGGTTCTGCATTTAGTTTATATTCTTCAAAAATTCTAGAACAAAACTTAAACTCAAAACCAGTATAAAATGCCAACCATGGTATTATATACCAAATAACTTACACAATAAAAAATATTCTATACATACCACAGTTGGCAAAGAGGCTTAAAAACTCACTACAATTAAAATATATGTTCTGAGTTAGTACATGATACTTGATCTGTGTAACAGGTTTATATATAATATCCATTATCAATTCTAATACTAGCAAAATTAGTTCAGCTATCCCAAAGTATGTAAACTATTTCACATTCCAAATTTGGCACATCTGTTTTAATTATATTTTACTCTCTTACCTGTTCGGAAGTGAGATGTCGACTTGTGATCTCCTATAACCAGGCGACCAGTATGTTCTTTCTGTAGAGAAGGTTGGAAATGTATTAAGGGTTTGAGATTGGTAATTTAACAAGTATTTACTATGCACCAGAAATGACTGCTGCTTCTGGGAGAAGAAACTAAGGACTAAATTAAGATCACTGGTTTTATGGAGTTTACTTTGTAACAGGGTAGGTCCGGGGAGGGGAGGTAGACAAATGTAATCTCAATAAATTCCATTAGGTGAGGAGGTGGTATTAAGTACCATGAAAACAAAAGAGAGCAATGAGGTAGTGAATATAAAGGGTAGAAATCATGCTGGAGTTTTAGGACCAGCAGTTGGCATAATGGCTATGTCGCTGGACTCCCATGTAGTCGACAGTGGTTCAAGTCCTGGGCACGTGTGCGTGCACGCCCAAGATCCCGAGAATGGAATAGAGAAAGGAAAAGTGCTAGGATAAATAAAGGTTTTCTCAATAGGTGATATTTTTGTGGCTACTTTTGAGGGGCATTTCAAAAGCTATTGAACATTTTTAAAATTAGGAGTTTTAGTTTTTATTTATTTAAAGAATTGTTTCATTGGGACCAGTAGGTGGCATGGTGTTTAAGGCACTGGACACAACTACATGGTTGACAAGGGTTTGAGTCCTGGACCTGGTGGCTTGCTTTCTCACTTTCCTTCTCTTTCTCTCTGTGTCTCTCTCTGGTCAAATCAAAATAAAATGAATGAATGAATATAAGTAAATAAATAATTTAAAAAATTGTTTCATTTAACTTTATTATTCTTATTTCTGAATTTGACCAGAGAGACAGAGAAAGAGACAGAGATAGAGAGAAAGTGAGAAAGCAAGCCACCAGGTCTGAGATTCAAACCACTCGGCCTCGGAGTCCAGTGCCTTTAACCACCACCACACCACTTGCCGGCCCCTTGTTTTTGTTTTTAATGACAGCACGTGTGTTGAGAGAGAGAGAGAATAAAAACGATGGAGAGGAGGAATCACCCTCAACAAGGCCAAATCACATTGCTATCCCTCTTCCCCAGTCCTCTAGCTGCTCAGGATTCTGGGTGCCTGTGCCTGCCTTGTTTTTAAGCCAACTCAGGGATCCAAATTCATAGTTGGCACATGGCTTCCTATCTTACAGGGCAATTGTGCTAATGACTGTGACACAGCAGCTGGGCCTAAAATTAGTTTTTTAATAAAGGATATTTCTATCGCTACTACTTTAAGGCGTAGAGATAGCTATAAAATATGACAAGATTTTGGAAAGAGGTTCTTACAAGAGAATATACCCAGGAATATTTTTTTATAAAATCATTGGGCTAACAGATAACAAATTACAAACTTTCATATCTCCTTTCTTCCAGTCTTCTTGAAAAGTTTTTTCTCTAGTTTCCACACTTTACTCCCAAAGGCACGGAGAATCCTAGAAGTGGTTCAGATATGGTATAAGGTTTTTGTTTTTAATTTTTGCCAGAGAGTAAGTGCACTTGTCAGAATCAGTAAGAGAAGGAAAAAGCACACTCCCCTCCAACTATGGGGAACAGTTACACCGTAATCCCTTCTCTTCCATTTCTCCCTCCTTTCAGGACTTCTGGGACACATGCACATACACCTGGTGTATTTTCCAAGCCATTAGGTCCAGGGCTCAAACAACATGGTTGGTCATGTGAGATCCAGCACCCTTAACCAGCAGGTTAAATTTTTAGTGCTTAGTTTTATTTCCTAGAGCCAAATGCATCATGCAGGACAGAAAATGGGATCCAAGTGCCTTCAGTCTTCTAACCTAACATACATACAAAAATGCAGAATTTTTACAGAAAAGATAACGATGCCTACCATCTGATGCTTACCTTTCCTGCACCCATAAGTCTCAAGAACTTCTGTTTTCTCTCTTCATTGCCTAAGTCTGCTGCCTCCCAATTGCTGGATCCAAGCTGAAAAAGAGGTTAGTCAAATTATTCTTTTTGCACAAAATTAAGTATTAAAAGTTAAAGTCAACTGTAAATATAAGATTTCTTTTCTGTCAGTTTTTTTTGGGAGAGGTTTTGTCACACAGTGCATGTCCTCACCGGAAAGACAGACAGAAAGCGAGAAATCACCTCCAGGGGTGGGGGGTGGATTGCTACACTGCAATCCCTTCTCCTCTTGGGATCTTGGGCAGGCACGCACACGTGCCTGGCATGAGTTTAGGCCACTGAGACTTGAACCCTGTAGACTACATGGGAATCCAGTGATGTAGCCATTATGCCATCTGCTGGTCCCTTTTCTGTCAGTTTTAATTGTAGAGTTCATTTTTCTTACTTAGGAAGTTAAGCATAAGCATATATATCACATGTGGATTCAAATACTTTCCTTTCCTATCACTGCACAGCAGAATCCTGTAGTTTTGTAGCCAGAGCTCTGGATCTAAACAGTTTGCATTTATCAGAATCATCTAGAGGGGTTGTTAAAGCAGACTGCTGGGCAACACCACCAGAGATTCAGATTCACTGAATCTGAGGGTGGGAGCTTACGCATTTCAATTTCTAACAAATTCTTAAATGATGCTGATACAGCTGGTGTGGAAATTTTATTTTGAGACCCACTGCCTTAGAATCTTAAATGGCCCTAGAGCACTTAGTACTTTGAACCGAGAAGGCTGACATAGTTGTTAGCTGAAGTTAAATTCTGGCTTCAATCCATAAACATGGACATACCCTAGCAACAAAACGAAGATCTAAAACCATATGATCTTCTCAACAGATGTGAAAAAAGCATTAAAAAAATTACTTTATGATAAAAATGCTTAACAAATATAGGTCTAAAAAAATTTACCTCAAAGGGCATATATGACAAACCCATAGCTAACATCATACTAAATGGGGAAAGGCTGAAAGCCTTCCCTGTAAGACTAGAACAAGACGAGAATGTCCACTTTCACTACTCTTATTCAACACAGTACCAAAGGTCCTAGCCAGAGCAATAAGGCAGGATAAAGAAAATTGTAGACAAGGAAATTACACTGTCCTTGTCTACAGATAATATGATCTTACATAAAAAAACAAACAAACAAAAAAACCCCTAAGAGTCCACACAAAAATACCCAAAAAACCTCTTAGAACTGATAAAAACTGCAGGATATAAAATCAATATACAAAGTCAGCTCTGTAGTACAGTGATTAAGGGATCCCACATGGCTGACCATAGTTTGAATACTGGGCCCAACAACCTGAAAAATCCAGACAGCAAGGAGAAACAGAGGAGAAAAGATTGCAACATGACCATACCCAGTTGGGAGACTCTGTGGCTAGCATGCACACCTGCTGGCAATTAAAACAAAAAACCTGACCAAAAAAGCAATCCAATTTACATAGCTACAACAAAAATAAAATACATAAGGATAAATTCACTTTGGGGCCGGCTGGTGGTGTGGTGGTTAAAGATGCTGGATTCCCACATGGCTGACTGCAGTTTGAGTCCTGGTTTGAGTCCTGGTAGCTTGTTTTCTCACTGTCTTTTTCTCTCTCTGTCTCTGTCTGGTCAAATTAAAAAATAGCAGCAGCCAACTGAGGGGCCTCAGGGGCCAGCAAAGTGGTGTGGTTAAAAGCACTGGATTCCCAAATGGCCAACCGTGGTTCAAGTCTCAAGATCTGGCGGCTTGCTTTCTCCCTTTCTCTCTCTGGTCAAATGAAATAATAATAATAAATGGAAATAAATTAACTCTTAAAAATAATAGCAAGTGTAAATAAATCTTTAAAAAAAGAAAATTCACTTAGGGGGTAAAAGATCCCTACAATAAAAACTAAAACACTGATGAAAGAAATTGAAGATACAAAAAAACAAAGACATCTCATGTTCTAGACTGGACAGTATTGCTAAAAATATCTATACTACCAAGAGTAATTACAGATTCACGACAATACTTACCAAAAACAATCTTCACAAAAACAGAACAAAATTTATAAAATTTATATAAAAATCATTAAAAACTCTGAATAGCTAAAGCAAACCTCAGCAAAAAGAATGGAGCTGGCTAGGCCAGTCAGTCGCATGGTGGCTAAGGAGGCCGGAACACAAGCCAACTTGCATGTTTCATGATCAACTGTAAGGTTCAAGTCCCATAACCAGCAGCTTGAAAAAAACACTAAGTCCAAGTGCATGTGTGCCCAAAAATTTCGAGAGGAGCATGAAGAAGGGATGGCAATATGAAAATTGAAAACAAAACAAAAATGGCTTCATAAAGGTAGAGAGATGACTGACTACTTAAGGCTGGGATCGGTTATGGGACATAGAGGGGTAATGATTAATGGAAATAAAATTACAGATAGGAGGAACAAATTTCTAGTGTCATAAAATACAGTGGGGGGTAATATAGATGGCAACAACTTGCTAGATATTTTAATGTAATTAAAAGGAAAGATTCTGAATGTCGCCAATGCAAGTAATGGCAAAGGGTTGAGATGATGGATATGCTAAGAATCCTGAAGGACTCATTACATGTTGTATTTATGTACTATAAAATTACGTTGCACCTCCACAGATATGGACAATTACTATGTTAATAAAACTTATGTAACATTCTCAAATTAAAAAGAAAACTGGCTGTAGTGATATTCTAAGGAGTAATATAGCATCAAGATCCACTGGGCTCAATTTTTCTTTTTCAGAGAGATTTTTGCTACAGGGAACCTGCACTCGCTGGAGTGACAGAGACAAAAACCAAGAAATCCTCCCCACCCCTGCCCTTCTCCTTCCATTCTCCTCTTGGGATTTTGGGCACACTCACACATGTGCCCAGCATGAGTTTTAAGCCACCAGGTCTGGGACTCAACCATAGTCAACTACATGGGAGTCCAGTGATGTACTCATTACGCCATCTGCTGGCCTCTTCATTTATCTTTTGAGCCATTTTAGATAATGACTGAGATTTGTTAGTACTGAAATGTAGTAACTTTTATTTTTTCTTAAAAGTCCAAAGAACAAAGAGAAAATTCACTTAAAAAATACTGACATTTCTATCTTGGAATTATTAAATGGGCCCACTGAACCCTTCTATAGACCTAAGAAATGTTACAGAATTCTAGTGATCATACTTTTCAAACCTACACCCTGAAATAAATGTAAGAATTACCCCATTACTATTATTCATCAATATTCCCAGCTAAACATAACTATAATAGTGACAAAAAAACATGGAAGAGATTTTTCACTGTATTAGCCAATAGACTGCATAGCCATCTTTCAAGAGGACATGCCTCTGTTGTCTGCTTTTGGCTTTCATTGAACACAGATGAAAATTTTCATTTCTCAACAATAATGGTAATGAGAAAAAAACTGAGAGACAACATTTTACAATTTAAAAAATAATCTTAAGAATTATTTTATTTAACTTCATTTATTATTATTATTATTTTAATTTGATGAGCAAGAGGCAAAGTGACAAAACAAGTCAAGGACTCAAACTGTGGTAGATCATGTGGGAGTCCAGAGCCCTAAACCACCACGCCACCTGCTGGCCCCACATTTCACAATTATTAAACAAATAAGGTGAATGTAAAAGGACAGGTAACAGTATCGCAGACTAATGATGGTGAAATTAATTTTTTGCAAAAAAAATCTCAGACTATGAATTCTTGGATAATAAAATACTGAATAAATAAGACAAAGAAAAAGAAAAGGACAAAAAAGAAATACATTGCTCTCAACTGGAGCATCATTCAATAGCAAGGATTTCAATTACAATATTTTGGAATAAGAACCAGGACTATCCCATTTTTCTAAAAGCATGTGTGACTGTTTTAGTTCACCTTTTATAATGTTTACACATCAAAACTTACTTGACTCAGCTTCTAAGTGGACAAAGTATGAAGGGTATATACAAAAGTAACTAGAAAGATAAGTAAGATCCAAACATTCACTGATCATTCTAATTAAATTTATAATCTAACACAAAAATGAAAATGTTTTGCAATTATGGGTCAAAGACACTAAATTCTTCAACAAAATGTTAGCAAAAATTTCAAAATACTAAGTATTATATTTTGATGATGCAAATGCAAGAACTAGAAATAATAATGGTAAAGCCTATAAGAAATAGATATGAAATCTGAAATTTTAAAATTTTATGTTCCAGGTTCACATATAACAGCTGATGAGCAATTAGCTATTGATACATTCAGAGGATGCGGAACAATTTTGGGTATATATTCCATCAAAATCAGGAAAACATATTGGATTGTTGGAAAAGTCATTATGTTTCTTTATGCAAAAATGTGTCATGACTTTTCCAAAGCCCCAAGAGAACAGAAATTTGGGGTTACTACTGTTAAATTCCTATTAAAATTTCTAGTAAAGTGTTTTCCCCACTACCTCTTTATTCTTAGTTCTAAAATTGACACACAAAAGATAAAAAGAATACTAAAAACAACGGTAACTATGGTGTGCACAGGAGAGTTAAGCATTTGTTCCACGTTGGATCCACTTGTGGTTCTTCTAAATTCATTTTGGTGGAGGGACTGAAATGCTTTGTTAATTTTGGTTACCTAAATTCCAAATCTGCACTTCTTTCCATGTGACTCCTCTTTGTATAGGCCATTAGGTCTTTGTCTAGGTCTTTAGGTCAATAGTTATTTCTGGCTCAATATGGAAATAAAAAGGACTAGTAAAGCTTCAGTTCTGATTCCCACCAAATTACTTGCTCTGTAAGCCTGGACCTGACATTTCTGATCTACATGTGTCTTTATTTATTTATTTTTTTAGAGATTTTTTGCTATAGGGTGAATGCGCTCACCAGACAGACAGAAAGCGAGAAATCACCCCCTGGGGGGATGGCCACACCGCAATCCCTTCTCCTCCATTCTCCTCTTGGCGGGATCTTGGGCACGCACGCACGCACATGTGCCCGGCGTGAGTTTAAGCCTCCGCCTCAGGGACGTGAACCGCGGTAACTACATGGGAGTCCAGCGACATAGCCATTATACCAACAGCTGGTCCCTTCATGTGTCTTAAGACTGTCTTGAGAAAGGTATTAACAACCTAAAAATTGCATAGTTTTTCACAATATACAAGTCACTTGTCAACAGTCCATTTAATAATTAAGTATATTGAGACACAGAGGGGATAAATGACTTTCTTCACTCTCCAGTCAACCACTGTTCTTTCCACATACTTTACAAGATCAATTGAGGCAGAATATTCAAAATGGCCTATAAACTACTATGATATTAATGTACAGAATAAAGTTAAATAGTCTAACCACCAACTTTCCCAATTCTTCATTCCTATTAAGAGAACAAATACCTTCAATGTTTTTACATAATCACTACTGTCCATAACTTCTAATCCTAATGTATTTTTCCTTTAAATCATTAAGTCCTTCTGGTTCTTCAACAGCAACTACTCTGCCAATGCTGCATTCTGAAAAGCACAGGGATGACTGATACATTCTTAAAGGTTCTTCACCAGTTACTAAAATTAACCTCCTCACTTTCTCCCTTCATTCAAACCAACAAAACCACTTTTAAGTTCTAATACCCTTTACTATAGAACGGCAATCAATTTATCTTCTCAGTACATATCCTAGTGACTTATGCTGTGATTTAATATCCACTTTTAAATTTTTTTAAATGTTTTGTTATCCTCAAATTATATGCAAGGTCACTGGGAAAACAAACTTCATACAGTGACTGTTCATTACAAACTACTGACCAGTCACATATTATAGTTGATTTTCTACAAGGTTGAAGTATATTTAGGAAGTAGATTACATATAGTTTAAGAAATATTAAAAAGCAAATAAATTTTCAATTACCAGTAAAAATAATTCATGTGAAAGAAACTGACTTTTAAAAAGACCACTATCTAGGAACAAGTCACTGTAGTGTAACATTAGTAACATTTTCAGATAGTATGTGAAGGTCCTAGGCCCTGATCTTGAATTGCAACTGTAACCATCTCTTTTGAAGATATTTGCATAAGAGTGGAAAATGTCTTAACCAGGTAGAGTTAAAACTGATCTCATTAGAAGGTGCAGAAATTTAAATCACATAATCCCTTTAACTTTCTGTTATAGTATCAAGTTTTCTATCAAGGTAAAAGAGTGTTTATTGCTGAGTCAAAACAGTTGACCGACTTCCCAGTAATCAAGTCAGAGTTAAAGACCAGGAGGAAAACAATATAGTTTTTCAAATGGCAGCCAGGTTACTCAAAGACCTGGATAAAAATTCCTGACAAAAACTGAATTACCATAATAACAAGAAAACATCTAAAAGCCAGTGGAAGAAAGAACAGAGAGCATAAATAATGCTCACTAGACAGCCATTCATTCCCAAATCTTTATTGATCGCTAATCTTTCCGCAGAGCTAAAATCGATTTCTTTCAAGACTCTTTCTATGCCAGTACTCATATCATCTTCCACCTAAATACCGGAGGGTCTTAACACCATCTCATTTGCTACAATGTAGTAGGGAGCCTTTTATGATTCACAAAATAAGAATGCTATGAGAGACACAGAACTGCCCTATAGAGAATAAAAGAACTCCGCACACTATAAATCGGCAGTGCTCTACACAACTGAAAGAAAACTAGATGTCCTTTAATCATCCTTAAAAATGACCTCTCCACGCCCCCCTCCCAGTAATGTCCCCCATTAACGTTCCCGAGGCATTTATCCATTGTATGAAGGACGCAGTTTCCATGACACTGCGCTAGAAGCTAGGCCAAATATACGAAAGAGCATAACATAGGCACCATACTTAAATCCATCTTTGAATTCCCAACACCTGGCACAGCAGTAAATATTTAATGGGTTATTCAAGAAATGGAGGGTTTGCTATTTAAACTGACTAGCTGAGAGCGGGGCTTTTTTCCGGAGAAAGCAAACGAGGTCTATGACATCTAAATGGGCTTCTAGGTCTCGCGGTCTTAGACCTCGCCAACATCCGCCAGTATCGATTACACCCCGGTACGATTTTGGGGTTCAATACTATTCCGGGTATACTCTAATTACAATGAACTCCAACAGTCTATTGCAAGATAATCCAGGCTGGGAAATTTGTCCAAGTGTGCAACGAATATGTCGGCACTGTCACAGGTACATTTAAAAGCCAAAATACAGAGGGTCTGCCGACTGCTTAAAAAGGCCGGAGGAAAGCTTCCTCAGCACCCGCAAGATAGATACTAGGATACCCCTACTTCCACTTCTCGCCCCTCTCTGGATTTCTTTCCTCAAGTCCCCTTCCTACGCAGGTCTCTGGCTCTTCGAGTGAGGACCCCTTCAAACGTTCTGGCCCTAATTAAGAAAGGAAGACATTTTCCGGTCGTTTTCTGATCATCTCCCTCTGCCTTTCCGCTTCGGACCCCCTCAGGTGCTTCCTTCTCCTTCACCCACCCTCTCCGGCCTACCGCGGCCTTCAGTAGGCCTCAACCCTCATCCACTCCGCCATTGTTATTTACATCGTCGTCTGGGGAGGCTGAACGCTTCACCCCGTGTGGGTGAGACTCCCTGGCAGCACTCATCGTTGCGGGGATCCGGGCGAGAAAGGCTGAACCCACACTCCGTTCTCCTCAGCCGCACCACCAGCAGCCTGCAACCAGCCACCGGCCAGGCAGCGCCACTCCAGCGCCGCCCCCCCGGCCCCCCGCTCTCCACCTCGCGGCACTCTGGGAGTTGTAGTTCCCTGCCTCGCCTCTCGGTGGCCCACAGACCAGCGTTGCCGGGGCGGCTGGAACTACAATTCCCACAAAGCGCAGCGCCGCGGCTCGCGCTCTGTGGCGGGGGGGGGCCCGCGGGGTGAGTCCCCGCGCTCTCCGGCTGGTGGAGGGATCTCTGCGGATGGGTATGGCGGCGGCCGTAGGTTGAGACCTTCGTCACCACAGGAAGAAGCTCAGAGTGCGTTTTCGCATTTCACGGATTTCACGGTGAACTGCTGCTATTGGCAAATGCATCCGTGGTAGTGAAGCACCTAGGTTTAAATGTAAGGTTTGAGACTCGAGTCCCTACGAGTGCCCTCCACGTAGGACAAAAATCTTATAAAAATGGCTTCTTCCATTCCTACCCTCGTGTTCTCTGTTGCCCGTAGGAAGATTTGTGGGTGACCGTGGTACTGCTTTCTAGATGTTTCTAATGAATAGCTTTCCGTTGTCACTGAAATGAATTCAGTATGATGTTAAGTGCTGGTTAATTGGCTTTTTATGAAACCAGAGTCTGCCTGCAGGAGTTCTTAGAAGCTTTCCACATGGCTTTGTGTAAGGTGGGAGTGAGCCTATCACACCCTGCTGATGTCCAGGCGTTGTAGGGTTGGGTTCAGCACCTAATGAAGGTCAGAAGGTCATCCGTTTGTGCCAGAAACTCCTGTATCTTTTTATTTTAAATATATAATTTAAAAAATTAAGATGACATCTACATAAAACTTAAAGTATACAATTAAGGGGCGTTTAGCACATTCACAATCTTGTATGCAACTCACGTCTTTCTAGTTCCAAGACATTTCATCACCCCCAAAAAAACCCTAGTGCCCATTAGCAGTCTCTTCCCATTAATCCTTTCTCCCTAGCCCCTGGCAATCAAAGGTCTATTCAGAAAGCCCTCTAGCTAATGATAATGTTCTGATACTAGGCCCTAACTCCTGCAATATCAAGGTGTTAGACGAGTTTTTAACCAGGTCTGAGCCTAACAACCTGTCTGGATTCTTGTCTTGACTTATTCTGAAGCTTTCTGACCTTGATTGAAAATTTTCTTTTTTAGCAAAAATCAGTAGTGATATGACAGTACAAACTCTGTGAGTTTTACTACTGAGAGCAGTGTGTGAAACAGTATTTTCCTATTAGCTTCTGAACTCAGCAGTAACTATAGTAGAAGAATTAATACTTTCCTGGATTTTAAGTGATCACTGAACCATTTCTAGAACTGTGACTAGTTGAGGATAGTTCTTTAATTATGCAGTTATAGATTCAGATTCTGCTGCTTAATTTCTTTTTTTTTTTGGAGAGTTTTTTTGCTATAGGGAGCCTGCACTCGCCAGGAAGACAGAGAGAGACAGAGAGACAGAAAGCGAGAAATTACCCCCAGGGGGGATGGCCATGCCGCAATCCCTTCTCCATTCTCCTCTCGGGATCTTGAAGGCACGCTCGCACATGTGCCCGCCGTGAGTTTAAGCCACTGGCTCCGTATTCAGAAAGCCCTCTAGCTAATGATAATGTTCTGATACTAGGCCCTAACTCCTGCAATATCAAGGTGTTAGACGAGTTTTTAACCAGGTCTGAGCCTAACAACCTGTCTGGATTCTTGTCTTGACTTATTCTGAAGCTTTCTGACCTTGATTGAAAATTTTCTTTTTTAGCAAAAATCAGTAGTGATATGACAGTACAAACTCTGTGAGTTTTACTACTGAGAGCAGTGTGTGAAACAGTATTTTCCTATTAGCTTCTGAACTCAGCAGTAACTATAGTAGAAGAATTAATACTTTCCTGGATTTTAAGTGATCACTGAACCATTTCTAGAACTGTGACTAGTTGAGGATAGTTCTTTAATTATGCAGTTATAGATTCAGATTCTGCTGCTTAATTTCTTTTTTTTTTTGGAGAGTTTTTTTGCTATAGGGAGCCTGCACTCGCCAGGAAGACAGAGAGAGACAGAGAGACAGAAAGCGAGAAATTACCCCCAGGGGGGATGGCCATGCCGCAATCCCTTCTCCATTCTCCTCTCGGGATCTTGAAGGCACGCTCGCACATGTGCCCGCCGTGAGTTTAAGCCACTGGCTCCGGGACTTGAACCACGGTCGACCACATGGGAGTCCAGCGTCATAGCCATTACACTAACTGCTGATACCTCTGTGCTGCTTAATTTTGGTAGCAAGAAGTACAGCACTATAATATGTAAGCTCATATGAAAAAAACCCTCAGATAAGGGCATAGTCTATAAGTATATATAAAAGGTTCCTTAGTTCTTTGGAAAGAATAAACCATAAATAATGGAGAAGAGGGGGGCCAACAGTGGCTAGTGGTTGTGGCACTGGACTCCTTGGTGGCAGACTGCTGAGTCCCAGACCTGGTAGCTTGAAAGTCATGCCAGGCATGAGTGTCCCAAATCCCTGGAGAATGGAGGAAAAGGGATCGCTTTCCCCCAGAGGATGATTTCTCACTTTCTTTCTCACTGTCTCTGACTAGGACATATGCCCTATGGAATAAAAAAGAGAATAATAATGATAATGAAGAAGAGTAGATCAATGAAGAGAAGAAGCATTTTCCAGAAGTGATTGCTTGCTTTTTTTTTTTTTTTAAAGATTTAGTCATTTAATTTATTTTTATTATTGTTGTTGTTGTTACTCAATTTGACCAGAGAGAAACAGAGAAAGAGAGAGAATAAAAGCAACCCACCAGTTCCGGGATTTGAACTATGGTTAGTCATATGGTAGTCCAGGGCCTTCATCACCACGCCACCTGTTGGTCCCACGTTGCTTGCTTTTTGCTAGAATTAAAATACTAATATTTTCCAGACTAGCTCCACAACCCTACTTGGGTTTTGTAAATATAATGAAATTACATTTAAGTTACAGAACTTTATAGAATTGACTATAGTTTACCTCCAATGGGTTTGACAAATTGTAATGTCCAATTAGAACTCTTAGGTGTATTACCAGTAAACAAATGAAATGGCTGAATAGGTACTTTAGATTCCCAAGAGAATTCTGAAATAAAAAAGAACTTAGGGGCCAGCAGTTAGCGTAATGGCTATGTCACTGAACTCCCATGTAGCAGACTGCAGTTCGAGTCCCGGACCTGATGGCTTAAACTCATGCCGGGCGTGTGTGTGTGTGCGTGCCCAAGAGGAGAATGGAGGAGAAGAGATTGCGGCATGGCCATCCCTCCTGGGGGGTGATTTCTCGCTTTCTATCTCTCTGTCTTTCTGGCAAGCACAGGCACGGTATAGCAAAAACAAAACCTCTCCAAAAAAAAAAAAAAAAAGACCTATCAATAAGGTTAGTATAATAGTTACTAAATAATTTAACTTTAGTAGTTGTTGAAGATTCAAAAAGCTTAATGAGTTATCAAAATATCTTTTTATTTCTTCACCAGAATTTTTGGCACTGGATGGCTAAGTCTTTGAATTACCACAAGACAAGATCACAGCAAAAAATAACATAGGAAATAGTAAAGACTGGATCAGTTTATCACATGTTACTCAGTTTCATATACTGAAGGCCATAGGTAAGGATTAAATTATACAGTGTAATAGAAATGCATATATGACACAGAAACTTGGTATAGAAACTTGGTATAGGTTGATCTTCCCTAATCTGAAAACCCACAATGCAAAATACCCCACTATTTGAAACTTCTGAGTACACTGTGAAAAACTCCATACCTGACCTAATGATAGATCATGGTCAAACTACTCAATATAAAAATGTTCTGTAATATTACTTTTAGGCTGTGTGTGTAAGGGATATATGAAACATAAAAATGAATTTCATATTTAGACTTTGGTCCCATCCACAACTCATATCTCATTATATATATGAGATATTTCAACATTTCAACATTTAAAAAACTAAAACATTTCTGTTCTTAAGCATTTCAGATAAAGGATACTCAACTTGTATTATCTTTTATCTTCCTTACTCTGCTACCAATAGTTGTAACAAAAAAATGTATATGCATGTATATGCTATAATAGGGGTATGAGCCAAGTCATGCTTACTATTCAAGACTTTTGGCTTCTTTTGGGTAGGATCTAAGCTTAATATCATGATATATATATATATATATATATATATATATTATTACTCAATAAATTTTTGTTGTATTAATATATAAACTAATTAGCTCAGAGAGGAGGAGATTTTATGTGGTAAGATAATGAGATTGTTATTAAACATGCTACATTTACAGTATTGGATACCTAGTGGAGTAGTTAGAAATATGGACTTCAAAGTTAGGAGAGAAGCCTAAATTTAGAAATCACTAATCCAGAGATGATGGGTAAAGCAAGGAGATTAATTGACTCACCCACTGAGTGCATAAAAGAGAGGTACTTGGAAAAGAAAAGAAAAAAATAAGAATTTTCAAGGGTAGGATTAGGAAGAAGAGTCTGATGTTAAAAAGTAGATGTAGGGACCAGCAGTTAGTGTAATGGCTATGTTGCTGGACTCCCATATAGTCGACCGTGGTTCGAATCCTAGACCAGGTGGCTTAAACTCATGCCGGGCACATGTGCGTGCGTGGCCAAGATCCCGAGAGGAGAATGAAGGAGAAGGGATTGTGGTGTGGCCATCCTCCCTAGGGGGTGATTTCTCACTTTCTGTCTCTGTCTCTGTCTTTCTGGTGAGCGCACGCATCCTATAACAAAAACCTCTCCAAAAAAAAAAAAAAAAAAGTAGATGTAGACCTAGAGAGAGGTTAGTATAACTGAAGTCAGGGGAAAAGGTTTGAAGACTACATTGTTCAACTCTAGTGAACTAAGAGAAAAACCCTCTAAAGGCTGATTTTAAAGGCTTAATATAAATGCAATTGTAGGACCAGAAACAGAATCCTGAAGATAGTGTATTTATAATTAAATAAATGTTTGTGATTGATGCGGGTTAATGATGACATGAATTTCCATATGTCCATTGGGCATGCAGATTCACCGAAGTGTTACTGTAATTTTTTTAAAAAAAGTTTTACTATAGGGAGCATGCACTCAGCAAAGGGACAGCATGAGGAATCACCCCCTGAGGGGATAGCCACACTGCAATCCCTTTTCCTCAATTCTCATCTCGTGTTTTGGGCACGCACACATAGGAGCCTGGCCTGAGTTTTGTTATTTTATTTTTATTTTTATTTTTATTTTTTTGAGAAGTTTTTGCTATAGGGTGTGTGTGCTCTCCAGAAAGACAGAGAGAGACAGAGAGACAGAAAGTGAGAAATCACCCACCAGGGGGGATGGCCACAGCACAGTCCCTTCTCTTCCATTCTCCTCCTGGAATCTTGAGCACACATGCACTCATACACACCCAGCGTGAGTTTAAGCCACCATGTCCAGGACTTGAACTGTGGTCAACTACATGGGAATCCAGCGACATAGCCATTACACCAACTGCTGGTCCATGAGCCTGGCCTGAGTTTCAAGTCATTGGGCCTGGGTCTTGAACCACAGTCAGCCATATGGGAGTCCAGCGATGTAACTGTTATGCCATCTGCTGGTCCCGCTACTATAATTTAAAACATGGTGACAGAAATATGGATTTGATGATTTTACACATGTCTAGAAACTTAAAAGAATAAGAAATGAAATAGGAAATGAAAATATATTGCTTATAAAATTGATCCAAGACAGCCATTACAATACATTGAGCGCCGTAAGACAGTGCTGGGGCAAGTGAGAACCGGATGGGCACTGGGCAACTCTGTGCCTCTTGGAGGACAGATAACTAAACATGGGCAAAGGATAGCCTGAGAAGCCGAGAGGCAAAATGTCATCATATACATTTTTTTTGTGCAAACTTGCCTGGAGGAGCACAAGAAGAAGCACCCAGATGCTTCAGTCAACTTCTCAGAGTTTCCTAAAAAGTGCTCAGAGAGGTGGAAGACCTTGTCTGCTAAAGAGAAAGGAAAATTTGAAGATTTAGCAAAGGTGGAAAAAGCCTATTATGAAAGAGAAATGAAAATCTATATCCCTCCTGCAGGGGAAACAAAAAAGAAGTTCAAGAATCCCAATGCACCCAAGAAGCCTCCTTCAGCCTTTTTTCGTGTCCTGTTATTATTGCCCAGAAACCAAAGGAGAACATTCTGGCCTACCCACTAATGATGTTGCAAAGAAACTGGAAGAGATGTGGGATAACACTGCTACAGATGATAAACAGCCTTGTGAAAAGAAGGCTGCTAAGCTGAAGGAAAAATATGAAAAGGATCTTGCAGCATACTGAGCTAAAGGAAAGCCTGATGCAGCAAAAAATGGAGTTGTCAAGGCTGAAAAGAGCAAGAAAAAGGAGAAGGAAGATAAGAGGAGGAAGATGAGGATGAAGGTAAAGAAGATATAATGAATAAATTGGTTCTAGTGCAGTTTTTCCCCTTGTCTATAAAGAACTTAACCCCCCTTTACACCACTCCTTGTTTTGAGAAAGAGAGATTTTTGCTATAGGGTGTGCAAACTCACTGGAGAGACAAAGACAGAGAGAGACAGAAAGCAAGAAATCACCCCTTAGGGCGATGGCCAAGCTGCAATTCCTTCTCCTCCATTCTTTTTTAAGGATTCTGGGCACACATGCACATGCAGCTGGCATGAGTTTCAAGCTGCCAGGTCCGGGACTTGAACCGCAATTGGCCATGTGGGAGTCCAGCGCCCTTAATTACCATGCCACCTACCAGCCCCAAGCATGGTAGTTTTTTGTTTTGTTTCATTTTGTCTTCAGTTGTCTCTGATGCAGTTTAGACAAAATTATTGATGTTTTGTTAACTGAATACCACTCTGTAATTGGGAAAAAAAAAAGTTGTTGCTCTTTAGTTGACATTCTGAATACTTCTAAGTAAATACAACTTTTTTTTTTATTAAAAAAAAATTGATTCATAACATTTTTGTCGATGTATGTCTTCTAACGTGGCCACAAAGTCCACCAATACATCCAAGGTCCAGCAATACTTAAAGTAGCAACATTCCAATACGTGTTGTCAAAAAAAACTATGAGTTTTTTTTTAAAGAAATATTTTATTTAACTTTATTTATTTATTTTTAAGATTTTTGACCAGAGAGGAGGGGGGAGAGAGAGAGAGTGTGTGTGAAAGTGAGAAAGCAAGCTGCAGTCGGCCATGTGGGAGCCAGTAGCCCCAACCACCACGCCACCTGCTGGCCCAAGAATTATGAGTTTAAATCAGTGAGTGACATCCCTTTCCTAAAAGAAAATTTAAATAACATTCTAATTTTTTCTCCAGCATCACTTTGTTGTTTCCCCAATTATGAAAATAATGCGTTGATATTAGGCTGGCTAAATAAATCAGGGTGCATCTATACAGTATACTACCTTGTAGCCATTAAAAAGAAAGATGAGAGCTGACTCTGTAGCGTAGTGGTCAAGGGAGCTGGATCCCACATACCTGACTGTGTGATTCAAATCATGGCCCTGGTCACTTGAAAAATACACCAGCTGCATGTGCTTGCATGCCCAACGTCAAACAGGATGGAGAGATGGAGGAGAAGGGATGATACCATGGCTACAGCCTGGTAGAGGGTGTTTTCTCTCTTTCCTTTTCTATGTCTCCTCTGGCAAGCACATGTGTTCTCTTGAAAATTTAAAAAGTTAAAAAAAAAATAGATGAAGCTCTGGAGGTACTTATATGAGACAGTCTTCAAAATATATTGTTGAATTTTTAAAAAGCAAGGTGAATTTAGTTAACAAAGTAAAGTGCACTAAGGGGCTTCATAAAGTTTGTGGTGGGGGCTGGGCAGCAGGTAGTGAAGGACAGCTGGACCCCACATGGTTGGCTGCATGGTTAGAGGCCTGGACCGGCACTTGAAAAGCATGCTGGGCACATGTGCATATGTGCCCAAATCCTGAGAGAAGGGAGAAGGGACTGAGGGATGGCCATCATCCTGGGAGTGATTTCTCTCTTTATCTCTCTCTCCCCCTAACAAATTCATGCACCCTATAGCAAAAAAAAGTTTGTGGAAAAATGGTTTTAAACTATGAGTTTATTTAGTTTGCTGTAGTGAGCATGCACTCACTGGAGACAGGAAGAGAGCAAGAGAGAGGGAAAGTGAGAAATGACCCTGCTGGAGCTATGGCTGCACTGCAGTCCATTCTCCATTCTCTTCTCAGGATTTTGAGCACGTGTGCACATGGATCTGGCATGAATTTTAAGCCTCCATGTTTGGGACTTGAGCTGCGGTTTGACTGTGTGAGAGTCCAGCGACAGAACCATTATGCCATCTGCTGGTCCTTGGCTGTTTTCTTTCTTTCTTTTTTTTTTTTTTAGAGGTTTTTGCTATGGAGGGCATGTGCTTGCCAGAAAGAGAGAGACAGAAAGCAAGAAATCACCACCCCCCCCCCACCGTGGGGGGTATGGCTACACCAGAATCCCTTCTCTTCTATTCTTCTCTTGGGGTCTTGGGCATGCATGCACATGCACCCAGCGTGAGTTTAAGCCACTAGATCCAGAACTCGAACCGCAGTCGACTACATGGGAATCCAGTGATGTCACCATTATGCTATCTGCTGGTCCCTTCAGCTGTG